TTGCTGTTAGGAACACTATGGCCACAAGCAACGTGGGGGAGAAAGGACTCGTTTCAGCTTAGAGCTCACAGTTCATCTCTGAGCGAAGCCAGGGTAGGAACCCCGGGAAGGAACCCGGAGGGACGAACTGAAGCAGAGAGGTGCTGCTTACTGGCTTTCTCCCAATGGCTCATTCACCAAGGACTACCAGACCAGAGGTGGCACCAGCCCAGGGGTGGTACCACCCACGGTGAACTGGATCCTCCTACATCAATCATCAGTTAAAGAAATGATCCACAGGCTAATCTTACTGAGGTATTTTCTCAATTAAGATTCCTTCCTCTCAGATGATCCTAGCGTGTGTCAAATGGACAAAACAGATAAACAAAAAACAACTATCACAAGGTCTCGGAGGGATGTGTCTCTGGAAGGTCTATTTTGTCCCTGGTCCTTGCTTCTGTGTCTCTTGCTTCCTGCCTGTCATAAAGTAAACAGCCTCTGCCACACTCCCTGTCCTTACCTCTCTGCCAAAGCAATGGAACCATTTACCGCAGTCAAAACCTCAGAAACTGGGAGCCAAAATAGGCCCTTCCTTAGCTGTTTCCCCGAACAGCTAAGTGGGGGGGAGAACCCCTTTAAAACACACCTCTTCTGGACAGAACTAATTTCACTGCCCTTTCCCCATTCTGGATTCCAAAGTCCCAGTTAAAGGGCACCTCCATACTTGCCCACACTTGAACAAAGGAGTCGAGTCAGTATGTTAAATCAGCTGTAGCATTTAAATGCAGGGACATGGGCCAGCACTGCAGATGGTGACTCCTGTTCTGAGTCTTCATTATTGTATATGCATGTATTATTTTACACGTACATACGTATATGTATATCTAGCTTTTATATGTATGTATCACTCAGACAACTGTCCTAGAACAGAGCGCACAATGAGCAACGCTGCCACCTGCTGGTCGGAGCATGTGTGAGGCAGGAAGAACTGAGGGATAGTCCTACGAAGAAATGGAGAATGGGGGTTTTTGAGGGGAAACAACAATGCTAGGCCCCTCTGAGTAGGTGACCTTAAAAGCCAAAGTCCCAGCACAGTAGGGAGAGTGGGCTATATGGACACCTTGGGGAGATGTCTCTTTTCAGAGCTCAATCTGCTAAAAGACACCCAAAGCAAACGGTCCCACCAGCACAGACCACAGTCTCCAGAAAACCAGGGTGTGACAGCTACTAATCCCGGTAGATGAGACCAAGGCTTCACCCATGTCACATATAGCCTTCAAAAATAGCATATGGCTGGGCATGGTGGTGCATGCCTTCAATCCCAGCACACAGGAAGCAGAGACAGACAGATTTGTGAGTTCAAGGCTAGCCTAGTCTACAAATTGAGTCCCAGGCTGTTACACAGGGAAGCCCTGTCTCGAAAAACAAAACAAAAATGTCTGGAGAGAGCCATCCCTCAGCAGTATAAGACCACTGGCTGCTGTTCTCGAGGACCCAGATTCCATTTCTAGCACCCATCTAGTGGCTGGATATGATGCTCTCCTGCCTTCATCAAGCACTGCATACACGTGTGACACAGACATATGTGTGGGTAAAACCTTCATACAGAAGAAGAAGAGGAAGAGGAAGGAAAATCTTTTTAAAAGCATGTCCTGAAAGACCCAGCAGAACCCTAGTTGGGGGCTCAAGTGACTTTTCAGTGGGGAACGGTGGCACTGATGGAGGTGGCCTGGGGACCGGGAGACCCGTTTCTGTCTGGTTTAGTATCCTGGCCTCATCCTGACCTCTAGTGGCTACCTTGCTCTTTGCTTTGTTTTGTTTTTGTTTTTGTTTTTTTTCGTGACAGCGTTTCTGTGTAGCCCTGGCTGACCATGGCCTCACTCTGTAGACCAGGCTGGCCTTGAACTCAGAGAGATCCGCCTGCCTCTGCCTTCCAAGTGCTGAGATTAAAGGCCACCAGCGTCCAGCACTCTCTGCTTTTATGTGATTCTGCCTTTGGCTTTAGTTGTATAGTTTTATTCCGGTCTTGAGACAGAAACGTGTTACTTGAACAGAGAAGTCAATGCAGCCAGCTGTGAGCAGTCACTGGGGAACTGCACTTCCGTGCACAGCAGGCACATCTGGGTAGAAGAGACTCAGAAGTGGATCTCCAGCACTCTGCCCCAACCTCAGAGGACGCTCCACTGGTCTGTCCCACTGGCTGGAAGGCTGGTGGCTAGGAAGGTGTTGGGACTGTGTGACTGTAAAGCCAGCATGGGGGGGGGGGGGCACTCAAGTGCAGCAGGAAGAGAAAGCTGCAGAAGGGAGAAGAGTGGGAAGACAGGATGGTGCAGGAGGGAAAGTAGAGCAGGGCAGGAAGCAAAGTGAGTTGCAAGTGCCCAAGAAATAAGAAGCAAAGCAGGAACCGGAAGTGGGACAGGACACAAGGCACGAGGGAAAGCAAAGCAGGCCAGGAAGTGAGGCAGGAACAGGAAGCAAGGCAGGTCAGGAAGGAAGACAGGAAGTGAAAGAGGAACAGGAAGCAAGGTAGGCCAGGAGAACAGGAAGTGGAGCAAGAACAGGAACCAAAGCAGGTCAGGAAGAAAGACAGGAAGTGAAACAGGAACAGGAAGCAAGGTAGGCCAGGAAGTGAGACAGGAAGTAAGGCAAGAACCTGAAGTGAAGCAGAAACAGGAAGCAAGGAAGGCCAAGAAGTGAGGCAAGATTGGCAAGCAAAGCAGGACAGGAAGCTGTCCTCAGGCCTGTCACATGTAAAGTTGGTAAGACTAAGTGAGTGAACCAACTGTCAGTCAGAGGTTCCCGGGCCCAACAGGTTCCCTCACCCACCACACACATTCAGGGTCTCTCTCCTGACTGCTGCTGCCCAGTACTCACACAGCCTTCTCCTTGAGAGATATAGTCCACCAGGTATGTCCCCACCCACCCAGAACCGTTCCACATGCAGTCTTAGCTGCAGCACCATGTTCTCACACATTCCTTTCTTTACACAAATGTTTTTCATGAGATTTTTCCCTTAAGAGTCCAAACCTAGCATACAGCCGCCACTGAGATGTGTGGTTCCTGCCCTTCTCCTCTGGACCTCAGACCCCATGGGCCCAGACCTTACTTCCTTTGGCACTTTTCTCCTGCTCCCAACAGGGTAGGCTCACCAGGTTCACAGATGGGATATCCAGGAATTTATGGTGCGAGAGCTTTTTCCATGGAAAGAAGGGAGATGCCCTTTATGGAAGGGCAGTGTGTGTGTGTGTGTGTGTGTGTGTGTGTGTGTGTATGTGCGCGCACCTGCACACTGAAGCCAGTGAAGCCTTATTGAGAAGTGTGCGACACCTGTTCATGTAGAAAGGGATGGAAAACTCTGGTCTAAGAAATGAAGTGATGAGATGAGGTTGCTCCCTTTCTGCACCTTGACCAAGAGCGGTCATGCCCCTGCAGAGGACCTGGGGCCAAGATACGGAGCCCCAGGTAACAAGAAGCCCTATGGGGCTGTTTTATAAAGCATTAGAAAGACAAGGTGGTGTTAGGTCACTGTAGCCTAGCTTAACTCCAGCTGCTGGTACAGCACAGGCCCCCAACACACGTAGGGACCTATGCTTTACTGTGTCCATATCTGGGCCCTAGTCCCACGTGGAACTTCTCCAGGGACTGGACTGAGGGTGAGACTCCACAGGATGTCAGGTTCCCTCCTCTCCCATGTCCTCACACTCCCTCTAGTCAGGGTGAACACTGGGAAGACATAAAGAATGTCCGCTGACCTCAGATAGAGGAGACACCAAGAGACCCAAGGAAGGATTCCATCCAAGTCCCATTTGGTGAACCAATGAATTCACTGTGGTCACCTACAAGAGTCTTCGTCACTATTGGGCAGCCTGCTGCATTAAGACTGGGTAAAAGCTGTACCATGGGACAGTCCCTGGACACTGTATGGGCAGTTACACTACCACAGAGCCCCAAGGCCCAGTCAGCCTGTGCGTAGCCCTCCAAAGCAATGGGCCTGACCAGCAGAAGTCTCCTGCGATCACCTCAGCGGCTCTGCTCCAGATGACGGCTGCCATGTCCTGCGTGGGAGACACAGCTACACGGCAGTTGTGTTTAGACTTACTTTGGTCTGTGGTTGGTTCGTCTGAAGTGAGCAGCCACCTGTTTGGGTCTCCTCAGAAAGCAGCACACCATGGGGCCTTCTCTAATGGAGAGCTCCCCAAAAGTCCTTCTAGAATGATGAGGCAGAAATATCTCGTTTGCTTCTCTGACTTTTTAATGTAAACATAAAATTTTTGAAGAAATTGTTGGAAAAAGTAACGAGACAATCTGTAAATATATTTTTAAACAGGCTATGAAGTCAGCATAGAAATATATCCTGAGGGCTGACTCACTCACCCACACACCCCTGCTTCACTAAGAAAGCCAGAATCAGGCGCCCGCTTGGCCAGGAGGCCACCTGAGCACATCGTGAGGAGCACACTGCAGGCCAAGGACTTGGGCTAAACCTGAAGGAAACCTGCCACGAGGGCTGGGAACCTCGGTGGCACGTGGTGCCACCAAATCCAATGGCACTGGAGCAGAGAGGGCAGGAGCTCCACAGACACAGCTCCATCTTCAGAGCTTTCGGGGAACTTCCAGGCAGGAGTGTCTCCACTGCAGGCCAGCCTCCTGCAGTAGCTCTCGGCACTGAGGAGGCAAATGAGTGACACTCGCCACTGTAAGGGTGGTAGTTTCTAAAGAGCTCAGTACATCCCACGACTGCTGTCAGAACCAGCATGGCTACATCAGATCCAGACAAACGAGCCTGGGCAGAGTGAGCATCCACACACACAGTCGGCAGTCGGCGGAGTTCGCTGCGCTTGGCGCCCTTCACATCCTAAGTCAGCTGTCAGCACAAGATACGCAGTCACTGGGCCACCTGCTCACAAGTAGAAAGCAGCCCACATCTTCATCCCATCTCTCGCAGTTTCCTAGGAACTCTGGGCATCAGTGGGGGTGCAGCTGAGAACCTGGTCCTTCAGGTGCTGTCCAAGAATGGCTTCGCAACTGGGACTACTCCTGTGAGGTCAGTGAGCACCAAGTCCTGCTTCCACCATCGTCTTGCCTTGAGACTCCACCAGCACCAGTGAACGGGGAAAGGGTGACGTGAGCACAGCGCATGGCTGTGTCCCCTCCATAATGAAGCAGGCAGAAGTGAGCTAAAGGCAATCAAGACTTTTCCAACCCTTACACTTCCTAGGTCAGGGTCACCAGAAAGCACTGAGGGCTGCAAGGCCAGGTTTCAGTGACAGTCCTGTGCCTAGGGCCTGCCTGTTATCCTTCTCAGGCAGTGTCTAGCTTAGAAAAGGGGGGGTTCGATGTTAATATATTAAGGAATTTAATTTATAGCTATTTAAAATTACAGATACCTTACAAAACAGTTCTGTGATGATTCTGCAAGCAAGACATGAACAGAAATCAGGCCCGGTGCAGTCTCTTCATTATCTGTCAGCTGAGAGAGCACAGAGCACGCCCTAATTAAACTGCACACATATTTTTAACACTGACATATTTTTTTTAAGTTGGATTTTTCAACCATTCCTATTTTAAGGCTACTGAGAGAAGGCCACCATTGTGAAATCTCTGTGGAGCCCTTCAGAGACCAAGGCTATCTGGGCTGGCACGTGGCATCCACTCAGCTCGTGGCATTTTCGTGGCCTGAAACCTCTGTGGTGCTTTATTCTTCGCCTCCAATAAAAACCTCAGCACGCGCCACTAGCCCTGGGTCTGAGAGCCACAGGTGGACGGACAGGACACTGACTCTGCTGCAGGTGTGGTTGGAGTCTCTGAGGATAAAGAGCTCTTGGGGTGTGGTTGCTATGACAATGCTGTTGCTAGGATAATTCCAAGGATCACAAGCAAAGTGACTACACAAATGAGGATGAACATCACCTTCTGCAAGAAAAGAGACAGGAATCTACAGTGCAGAGAAAATAGCCTGCAGCCTAAAACAATTATCTATCATTGGGAAACACGCTCTAGGTGAGAGAGGAGGGAACCTTTCTAGACAGGGCCCAGCTGTCTGGTGTCGATTTATAAATGAATGAATGAGCATGCATGTGTGTTTTATCTGCAGGCATGACAGCAATGTGCAGCTAGCCCAGGCAGAGGATCACACCTGATTTCCAGGGTACCCACAGAAAGCAAGCACCTCCCTGACTGTGCTGAGAGCCACCGTCGGACCTTTGTGAACATATCCGACTGACTCATTGTGCTACAGGGGGAAAGTGCATGCTTCTACAAAGTCTGATGAAAATACTAAAAATACTCAGTTTTTTAGCATAGAAAAAACAATGTCATCTTTTTCAGTAGACTAAGAAGATGGTATCAGGAAAGATATATAACCCTCCTTTCCAACAGACATGGGGCTGCAAGTCCTTCTCATCCCAGGAAGGATGCTCTCTGTGCAACCTCATGGTCTGCACTGACCACAAGGGCACTGCTCCTCCCAATGGCAGCCAAACCCGACAGGTGCTCAAATCACGAGAAAAACATCATGGGGAAAAAGCCGTGAGGAACTGGAGTGTGGGAGAGCCTTTCTGCCACTGTGAAAAATTACTCTTAAGCACCACCCCTGAGTGCCCAGAGTTCACAAGGGTGACTCTGCAGTGGGGGATCCCCAGGATGCAGGGCAGGTAAGGCCCATGAGTGATAAAACTGTCCACAGTGACTATACGACACTTGTGGTAATTAAATATCAGGGTTTTCATTTTAGTAGGGGTCTGCTGCCAAGTAGGGACCTGAGAGGAGTTTGGTCTGGGCTGTTGTCCATAGCTTAAGCTCCATTCTCAGTTCCATGGTGAACAGAGCAGTGAAGGGCATTTTACAGTCATTTTCATTGTTGCTGCTGTTCTAAAAGTTACACCAAAACTACACCGCAGCATCTGCATTGGTTTTCACTGGGGACAGGCTCTGGGGGCAGTGGCCTCCCAGCCTGTGTCTGCTCAGCAAACAGAGGCCACTAAGACCTGAACCGAGCACTCAGCGAACAAGCCCCGTGACTTTTAAGTATATTAACACTAGGCAAACACACCACTGGCTGATTGAAAAGGTTAATAAGTAAATTAGTTGATTAGTCACTTACTGCCACCCTGAGGGAGAGGCAAGCACCCAGCGCCATCTACGCAATCATTTGCCAACCGACAAGCCAATGATTAGAGCCAGGACAGCAATGACAGCCACCACCACAGCAGCAATTATCCACTTTTTCTGTCAAAGAAAAGCAGGCTGATTATACCACAATGATTGTGCACTGCCAGTCAGGGGCATCCTTCGCTGGGAGTAAGACAATTGCCAGCACTCATTTTGAACTCTAACTTACAGGCCCTCTCCTGACGCCTACAGCAGTCAGTCTTCCCAGGGTGGCCTGATCCATGAGCTCAGGCCTCCAGAGTCAGGCAGTCCTCTGTAACCTGGTAACACTAGCTTTCTCCTGAGCACATGACAGGCTCATACTGGATTCCACTGGACTGAAACATGGAACACTTTCCCAGGAGTCCCGAAAGTCAGAGTTCTGACAGGGGAACCCAGCCCGCTTCTGCCTCCCACCTGTAGTAGGCACTGATGCCCTCTGCGGGCCCTCGGCTGTCCTGGAAGAGCTCGCATGCCCATGTGGTGCGCTGACGTGTTGCCAAGCAGACATCATCTTCGGCACCTCTGCAGGCAGCAACACGGAACCTCATGGAACCCCCTCAAGCTAGCAGAGTACATCCAGACTCTGCACCAGTTACATTCCCTTGGGACAGTATGGGTACAAGACAGAAGCCTAAGCAAAGGGACATCTGCCTCCCAGGGCTCCTACGCAAGACATCAGGTCCACCCATAGGTTCAGACAGCCAGTCACCTTATGGAGTGAACAGCTGTCACATACAATGTGTCACCAATTTAAGTGAAACCCAAATCCCACCACCTTGTCATCCCCCGCCCAGATGATGGCAAAAGGGAACAGAATTCAAAAGAGGCAAGTCAGTCCTGACTTGAGGTGCTAAAGGGTTTAAATTACTTACAACACTAAATAGTTATATATATATATATATATATATATATATATATATATATATATAAATCAACTTAGGAATTTTTAGCGAAAAGAATTATTTTGATTTTTAAAATAAAACATGTATTTAAGGCATTTTACTTCTTCCATGGCTAGAGACCAAGAGAAGAGAAAGCAAAGGAGGGCTCGGTCCTCAGAGCACAACTCACCCGCCTGGCTTTGCTCTGATATTTGATGGCTTTCTTGGTTTCTTCCTTGGCGTGTTCGACGTAGTCGGCAGCATTCATCACATTTCTCTCGATGTTGTTGACCATTTCACCCTGCAAAAAAGTGTCAAGCTCAGCAAACGTCAAGTCGCTCACTCTCTCATGTCTCCCGAGACAGCTCCCATGTAAGCCCAGCACGAGAGGGATGGAGACAGGATCCCTCACAGTTACAAAGTGGTGCAGACACACCAGCAAACGCAACCCAATTCCTGTTTCAGGAGCAGCTGAAAGGGGCGGTGGCAGCAAGGACAGGTGAATGATGACCTGACATGTCTTCACAGATGACAGGTGAAGACCATCCACAGATGAGCAATGACCTGACATGTCTTCACAGACGCACAGTGAAGGGAGGGCTGCAAGCTCAGGTTAGTCTCATGTTTTACCCTCAGTAAAACATTCCACACACAAAGGATGATGTCTTTTCTAACAGGCAGAAACCCACCACTGCTTATCTTTACAATATCAGCAAACTAAGTACAGCCTCCGGGTGACAATGAACTGATGATCAAAGATGACAATGGGAGGAGAGTCTACAGCACGTTGTGGGGAGGTGCATTACCTGGGTCCTGTCCGGGAGGAGACAGAGTCTGCAGCAGCCAATAGCAAAGCATTGAAGAAGGATGGACAGGTGACTATCATTCACAAGCAAATGCACTAGCAAGTCCTGATTCTGTGTTTCTGTGTTACCAACCTAACACAACGACAGACGTCTAAAAGGTAACAGGAAGTGAGGCCACCTATGGTGGCTTGTCCTAATGAAGCTTCCCACCACACATTAGGTATGGAGTGATTATAACTAAAGCCTGAGCCGTACAAAGCTTTGGGATTTCAAAATCGATCTACCATCACACAACTACTTCCCTCTGAGCCCGAAAGTCACCAGATGCCCCACTCCGCAGTTCTTAGACTAAGTGGCAACTGGTCCATCCCAGGTCAAAGAAAACCACACGTGTCCATTCCTGACCATCAATGCTAATCCCTGCCCACAGATACCCACCCCAACCCACAGTGCCTACCCTTGCCTCTCCATAACTGTTGGCATCCTCCACAGGTATCTGGTACGTGAGCTTTTTCACAGGTTTTTACAATAAAGTTTATCAAAATAAACACCATTCAAGGCATGTGGGGATGACCCTAAACCCTTGACATATCTAGGCATCAGAGAACATCACTAGCTATCAGCCAAGGAACCTGACAGCTACCTCAGAAAGGCGGTGAGGAACAAAAGCTTGTCTCGCTGGAGGCCAGATGCACCCTAGCCTGCCCCAGATGATCCTGAGGGATCTGAAAACCCTGGAACACTGGTTCAGTCTCTGTAGGTTCCCAGTGCAACTGAGTCAGTATGGACACATCACCCAAGCACACACAACTTGATGTTATACTTGCACACACTCTGGTCATCCCTGCCTGAGCTGCAGAGCAGGCAAGAACACCATAGAGTGAGGTGGGCTCTGGTCAGTCTCAGTGATTTTACCCTCAAGGTTAGTCTTTAAGCACTATCCTGATCCTTGTTTTGGTTTTTCGAGACAGGTTTCTCTGTAGCTTTGGAGCCTGTCCTGGAACTCACTATGTAGACCAGGCTGGCCTCGAAATCAAAGACATGCGCCTGCCTCTGCCTCTCGAGTGCTGGGATTAAAGGTGTGTGTCACCAGAGCCTGGTGCTCAGTCATCCTTGTAGTCAACAGCCCCAAGAGGGGAAAACCAACGTCCCCACAGTCCTGCCAATTTCAGGGTGGTTGGCTTGGCCACCTCCTTCCTCTGTGAGCACTGTTATATGTAACTGAGGTCACATGATGTGTGTTCACATTTATTTACATGTATTCATATCCATGGCTGTAGTAAGGTTTCTGTATATCCTTTAATTTTAACCTAAAACTCACCACAGACATTTGAAGGTCTCATTATTCTCCAGCACCTGGTGCTGCCTGTGGCTCTCTACCTAAGCAGCTGGCCAGCGAGCATGGCTCCTGAAATGACTAGTGGCCTACGGAGGAAGTGTACACTCAGGTTTCAGTTCAGCATTCACCACACACAACTCCTGACTTGAGACTGGATACCTAGCCCTGGCTTCCCTGGCCAGAGCATGGGGAAGATGCCTCATTACCTGGGTCTCCACAAACATGGCCATATCCATGAACATCTCGTGCAGCTCTCGGATGCTAGTCTCCAGCTTCATGATGTCTTTATGACGTGACTCGATCTCGTTGAGAGCTTGCCTAGTAATTTGTGAATCCGATATAATCTTCGGAAGGCAAAAGGAAAAGTATTACTAACTCCAGACTGGCTGATAAGTTAAAGGCAAAAGTGCCCGTCTACATTAAGTGTGTTGATGTACGGCTGTGGCACTCACATCCGAGATGAAGATGGACGGCTTCCCGCTCTCCAGCATCTCCTCCAGCTCGTCGTCTGTGGTGGTCCTCCCAGCTGAGGGGCAATGGGAACTGCACTGAGGACGCAGCGTGGGATGCAGCCAGGGATAGTCAACTAAGGGATCACTAAGCTCTGACTGAGCCATTAGCCTCGTCCACAGAGTTTCCCTGCCCTTTCTAAGATCCCTTCCTGGGCAGGCTAATGTGGCGGAAATGTGACTGCGATGTGTCACAAACCCGCCCTGGTATTACAGAGGAGCAGCCGTGCCTCTCCTACAGGTTCACCACGGGCTTCGGGCCAGAAGCAGCTAGCCTGAAGGTGGCATGTGACAACGGGATGAACAAACACATGGGAGGTCATCTCCTAGCCAGGCAGGAGGGGCTGCAGTACACAGAAGCGCCTCAAGCTTTGCAGATGTGACTGACGTACAAGCGCCAGCAGCTACGAGCAACTCAGCACAGGCTTCCCACTCCCAACTCTGAACACATCTAGCTGACACTAGGCCTAGGCATTAGAAAAGGGTTTCCGGTTTATGGTGAAGCTGAAGGTGTGAAGAATCCTTGAAGAGTGTCTGCCACACTCTCCCTACTCACTGATCTCTAGCTGGCGCTGGATGCGGCCTTTGCTTCGCTCCCGAAAGAGGATCTGCGCTTCGTTGTATTCTGTCATGACGTCCACAAATTTCCGTGACAGCACCGAGTGCTAGAACATGGAAAACACGGTGTTAGGGTATGAGAGCCATTCCTTCCTTTGCAAGAGGTAAAACCTATGACTGGAAAGCTCAGACCGTTACTCTCTTTCAGTAGAAAGTAAGAGCAAAAGCAGCAATGGAAGCTGTATGACCTGAGGTCACCAGGCCATAGTAACACACACCTATAATCCCAGCACTCAGGAGGGAGAGGCAGGCAGATCTCTGCGTTTAAGGTCAGCCTGGTCTACACAGTGAGCTCCAGGCCAACTAGGACTACATAGTGAGACTATGTCTCAAAAAAAAAAAAAAAAAAAACAAAATGCCACCAACAACACCAACAAATAATCTGGGGCCTACAGCAGTCAGCTGACCTCTGGAGGTGAGCATTATGGGAAGCTGAATCCAGCTGGCAGGCACATGGACTGCCTTGAGCTGGCAGGCTTGTTCACACAACACTGAACTTCCCAGGTCTCAACGATAAACCCCAAACAGTTAAGACCAAACCACTAACATCCAGATGATTCAGCTGGTCCCCTGCTCTGCAGCATAGACCATGTGGGTTTCTGAGGTGTCACTTCACAGTGAAGAGATGCAACCATGTGCAGACAGTGAGGGAGGGCAGACGTGACAAAAAGATGCAACAGCTGGGCTCAGATGTGGCTCAGTGACAGAGCTCTTGCTGAGCACATGCAGGGCACCAGATTCAAATCCCAGCACAATAAACAAATGGAATTGCTTTGGATTTGGACAAAGGGAGATGCTGTTCTTCCACATCGCCTCAGTCTAACTGAGGCTGGAAGGCTGACCTGAGTCCTTCGTATCCGCAGGTCCACTGACGTTCGGTTCCCACTCTCGTCCTGATCACAACTCTGCTCGATAGCTAGAAGGAAGCAGGGCAGAGTCACCCAGGTATGACAGCAGTCTCAGGATGGCCTCAATTTTCCCCACAAAACTAAAGAACAGGTGATATCTTAAAATAATCCTCTAAAGCAGTGGTTCTCAACCTTCCTAATGCTGAGACCCTTTAATACAGTTCCTCATGTTGTACTGACTCCCAACCATAACATCATTTTTGTATTGCTTCATAACTACAATTTTGCTACTGTTGTGAGTTGTAATGTAAATACCTGATATGCAGGCTATCTGTGACCCCTATGAAAGGGTTATCTGACCCCCAAAGAGGTCAAGACCCACAGGTTGAGAACCACTGTTCTAGTTACCAAAAGAAATGTTTATAACACTGCACATATATGTATTCAATGACAGACATGTAGACAGGCATGCACAAACTTGTGTCTACACACATTAACACCCATGTAAACACATATATACAAATACCAACATACAAGTATGCACATACTTGCATACATAAATGTATGCATACATACCAAAATCATAAATACATGTATATAGAAAAATGCATAAAAAACCAAAGACATACACAAATATGCACACAGGTGTGTGATTGTGCATGGGCCTTGTGTGTTTGTATTTATACATTTGTATGTTTGTGTTCGTATGTATGCGTTTGTATATCCATGTTTGTCTCTGCTGCTCTGGCTGTTTGCATGTATGTGCATCTGTGTTTGTAAGTATTTGGTGTGTGTATTTGGGGCGCGCCAGGTATCTTTAAACACCCAGTCACTGTAATGAGTCTGAATTAGATACTGAGTGGTTGTATTCTTGGGAACAACACTGTTTTTAAGATGCACACTCTCAGGGTCCGCCTTGAGATCAGTGGGGAGTACACTAGGACCTGGGCAACATGTCTGCCACCATGAAGTTGCTGTCCCTGAGAAGAGGGTGTGACATGCAGAGATGAGATTTGCTCCTCTTGATGTGTCTCTGTGAGTTAAACACGTCCTCCTCACAGATCAAGGAAGATCAAGGAAGGCAAGTTCTATTTAAGTACTGTGCAGAAAGCCACAACCCTCACCCAAGCCAGGTGTCATGCTTAACACAGAGCCCCAGGTCTCAGCTGGGCTCCTGGCAGCTGGGAAGCTTATTTCAGCCAAGAGACCCATTTGAGAGCTTTGGGACTCAATATAAATGCTATTCCCCCTTTCTCTGTCACCACCAGAGCCACAATAAGATACAGCATGAAAACCAGAGACCTGGATACACATATCCAATCTACTTAGATGTAATCTTAACTTTCATGTTAGTAAATGCAAGGTACCAACATCCACACCCCACCAGCACCCAAGAAGGCAAACTTACACTTCAGCTTGCCTCGGATCCAGTTAGCGGTTTTCTTGATCTCTTTGTTCAGATCTTCAAGATCTTCTTTTATTTCTTTAAAAAGTTCAAATAAAGCATCTGAGCTGGAACACTCAACTCCTGCACATCCACTCATGCAGGCCAAGCACAGACGCATCCAGCCTTCTTCTCAAGTGTGCTACCCCCAGCTACCACTGCCATGCCCAGACCAGCTCCTGGCATACCCTGAACTGTGCCATCAGATGCAGTTGGTGGGAGCCACAATTGCAGGCTCACCAGGACAAGGGGTGCACACAGCACAGCCTGGAAGAGATCTGCCCAGGCACCAGAGGTCTCTCCTGCTATCACCATCTTCCCAGTCCTTGTTGCTCCATCAGACACCCCACACACGCCACTCTCCAGCCGACCTGGCTCTAGACCTGGAGAGCCAACCCTGGTACCCCAGCTAGTCTCAGGGTGAAAGATCACCTGCTGCAGCGACCTGACAATGGCAGTCCCACAGCAATGTCTGAACCCCTAAAGCATCAAAGGAGGCTCTGGGGGCCCTCCCAGCATCTTTCTTGCAATCTGAGGTGAAGTCAGAAAAACACCCAAGGAGTTGAAGCACACTGAGGCCTGGCAGATGTGCGGGAGACCCTGCAAATCCCCAGTGTGACCAGAAACCAGAGACATTCTGAGGCTCCCCAGAAGGAAGACAGGCAGATTGGCTCCTTTGGGGCAGCAGAGTGACCAAAGGTCAGTGAACTATTCTAAAAGCAAGTGTGTAGAAGCGACCAGACACTGCGGAAGGCTCCACAGGTCACACCTCATTTTCTGGCTTTTTCTATAAGTGGCAGCCAACACTGAAAGTTTCAAAACAAAGGCATTCAACGTTTCTAAGAGCTAGGATTTAGAAAAATATTCCGACACCCTAAGGCACAGGAAAGTGGAAATGCGTCCGAGCACAGACCCCGCTCTGTGAGCCCATGACACACAGTGACCTCCAGACTTACAGTCCCCTCTCAGTTTTCATTACTAACCCAGCTCTGGCAAGCAACCACTGCCTACCAAATCAGCCTGTTGTTAATGTCCCCAAACACAAGAACCATCATCCCTCAACTGTGCACTCAGTGCAGACAACAAGCCAGTGTTCCTGCTGGAGTCCCACCGGGCACACTCACATATCCTTTGGTCCTCGCCCGGCTGAACACTGACATTATTTCAGGAGTTTCCAAACCCCATAAAGGTGACCTAGAATGCCAGGGGGTCTGCGCGTGCTCATATGCATGGGCATGCTGCTCCATCTAAGGGGAAGCTGGAGGACAGACAGGTGATGGACTCACTTCCTTCTGGGTTTGGGGCAGAAAGGATGATGCTGTGGTTCTTCTTTACGTCTTCCACGTGTTGAGCAATCCTGGCTATGCTGCTTCGAATCTCCTCCACCTAGGAGAGAGACACTACGGTAAGGTCAGAGTTCCACTGTTGTCCATCAGAGGGATGCTGGAGAGGAAGTGCCATTTCTGTTGTCACTGTGATTATTACGTGTGTGTGTGTGTGTGTGTGTGTGTGTGTGTGTGTGCGATTATTACTTTAAAGGGGGGGGGGGCTCAGTAGGTGAAGGTGCTCACCACCAAACCTGACAGCCTGAGTTTGATCCCCGAGACCCATGGGGAAAAGAGAGAGCCAACTCCCAAAAGTTATCCTGCCTGTTATAGCACACACATGAGTGGGTGTACATATACATATATACATACATACATACATACACACACACACACACACACACACACACACACACACAATTAAAATGTAGTAAGAACAGCAGTCTACCAATTCCTACTATTAGGACTAAAGCAACATTTGCCAGCAAAACTATATGCTGTAAAATCCCTACACTTGAGCCCACACACCACCACCCACAGTGCTAAGTAGAGGCATATGACTCCAGATAGCAGAGCAGTCAACAGCGAGCACCCCACGCCCATGGATGGGAAAAGGCAAGGGTGCATCCTTCCATGAGGAAGCTTCGCCATGCAATGGCCTGCCCTTCCATCATCCTCCTGAATGCGTGTGTGGTGTAAACAACTCACTGCAAGATCCTTTGGATGGACTTACATCTTCAAAAGTCTGTGGTCACTCAGCAATGGGGCCCTGAAGATATCCTGGTCCCTATAATTGTCATATTATATAGCCAAGGAGCCTATATAGATTCAACCAGGACTCTGGGATGAGGAGGCTGGTGGGGATATCCAGGTCGGACCCAGATAGAACCTGGCTACAGAGGAAGCCACATGACACCGAGGCAGGAGGGGCACTGCCAGTCCCTCCTCCTTCCTTCACTTAGCCATCATATGCTGTGATCCATGGCCACACCCTGACATCGCCTTCCATGGCAAAGGACTTCACAGGTCTAAGACTTGAGCTGGGAAGCCATCCTGGGTGTGATGGTTTGAATAAAAATGGTCCCCATGCAGCGGCATTGTTTGAAAGGATTAAGACTTGTGGCCTAGTTGGAGGAAGTGTGTCTGTTACTAGGGTAAGCTTTGAGGTTTCAGAAGCTCAAGCCTGGTAGGTAGCTCATTCTCTCTTCCTGTTCTCCACAATCTACTCCCAGCTACCTCTCCAGCACCACGAGTGCCTCATGCCGCCATGCTTCCCGCCATGATGACAATGGACTAAACCCCTAATCCTGTAAACCAGCTGTTAGTTTTCAGGCATCTGTACTGGCCTGCCCTTGGGGTTGTGAGAGGTTGTGTCTTCAGTTGTAGCCACTAAGAACACCTCCTGTGCACATTCGCTATGTTCCCTTTTTAAAAGGCCCTGTCCACCTCTCTTCTCTGTGTCTCTGTCCATCTCTCTCTCTCCTCTTTTTTCTTCTCTTCTGCTGCTCCTGTTCCCAGAGGCTGGTCTCTCTGCTCCCCTTCCCTCTTTTTATGTTCCCTTTCCCCTAATAAAAACCCCTCCCCCAAGTTTTGTTGCATGACATCTTGCTCTTATGCAACACTTTTTTCTATTACAACACCAGCGGGGCGGTGGTGGCACACACCTTTAATCCCAGCTGTGAGAAACCATCTGGAAAAAATTATAACACCAGCCCCAGTTAAATGTAAGGGTTGCTGTGGTCGTGGCGTCTCTTCACAGCTCCTAACCAAGCTCCTAGGTGATCTAGCTGTGCCTGCACAGCGCAGACTGAGGAAATAATGTCAGGAAGGGAAGATGTGATGATGAGAGCCGAGCACTGTGCTCTCAGAAGGGAGGGGCTGCAAACCAAGAAAGCAGTCTCCAGGGCCAGAGTGCAGTCCTCATTCCTCTGCAGCATGATCATGGCTTGATCTGAGTTTCTAATGCTCCCTAAAGACAGATAGCTCCGGAGCTACGAGATAGGATGTGCTGCTTACGGTCCCCAGTCTTCTGGTCACTTGTCACAGCAAAATAAGAAACACACATTTACATGCTTTTATGAAAAAGTACTTCCCTTTGGGGCTGGAGAGATGTCTCAGTGGTTAACAGCACTGGTTGCTGCTCCAGAGGACCTGGGTTCAATTCCCAGCACCCACATGGCAGCTCATAACCATTTGTAACTATAATTCTAGGGGACCCAGCACCTCTTCTGACCTCCATGGGCACTGCATGCATGTTATGCACAGACATATATGCAAACAAACCACCGATAAACATGCATTTTTAAAAATTTAATAAAAACAGATTATTTTAATGTTTTGGTTATCTTGCTATAGAGGCTGAAATCAAGGAATAGCGCTGGTTCCAGTTTAGAGATGACATTTCAATTTGCATTTGAAAGTGCCACTTTCAAGGTAACACTGATGGCCCATATGTCAGAAAGTAAAGGGGACAGCCCAGGTAAGAGAGTCCTTGCCTTCCCCTGACTTCACAGCAGCTGATGCCAGACTGGCTCTACCAGAAAAAGGCAGCCGTGGGCCCCAGTGCCCGTGGAGGAAGCTCCCCAGGAGGAGGGTACATGGTGGTAGAGGTGCTGGTCCAGTCTGAGACTGCAAGCTGCCCCCCACAGGGCCTCTTCCACCCATTATAACCATCTTCTCTGGAAAGTTCTCCACTTGTCGCCTTGCTTTACTAGTCTTTAACCACACCCTCCCGGGTGAGGAACAAATTCTGTCTTCTGTATCATTCTGTGTGATGTGTACTTCCCTTAAGGCTTCTTCTACCAGAGGCCTTATGATAACAAGCCTGATTGTTTCTCTGTCTAAGGTGTCACTTCATTCACAGAAACAACTATAGAATAAAGTCTGTAACAAATGGGAGAAGCCAGATCAATACACTCACAGTAACTGCTGGGGAATATTACTGTAAGATGTGTTACATTGTTTATGCTGTGGAACATTTGTTTTAAACGTACAAAGATGTGTTGCATTTGTTTAGTTCTATGAAGCTGTGTTGTTTTGCCTGTCTAAAACATCTGATTGGTATAATAAGGAGATGAATGGTCAATAGCTTGCAGGAAAGGATGGGGGAGCTGGCAGGCAGAGAGAATAAATGGGAGGAGAAACTGGGAAGAAAGGATCAAGGAGAATGAGCAAGAACAAGGAGAGGAGGATGCTAGGAGCTAGCCATGGAGTAAGAGTGAAAGTAAGATATACAGAAGGAAGAAAAGGAAAAAAGCTAGCCAGGCAGTGGTGGTACAAGCCTTTAATCTCAGAAGCAAGCACATCTCTGTGAATTCAAGGCCAGCCTGTGCTGTGGGATAATGTCCCTGTACCCTGTAAAGATTGCTACTAGTAGCCAGGCAGTGGTGGCACACGCAAAGCTTTAATCCCAGCACTCAGGAGGCAGAGGCAGGTGGATCTTTGTGAGTTCGAGGCCAGCCTGGTCTACAAGAGCTAGTTCCAATGGGCTGGAGAAATGGCTCAGTGGTTAAGAGCACTACCTGCTCTTCCAAAAGTCCTGAGTTCAATTTCCAGCAACCACATGGTGGCTCACAACCATCTGTAGTGAGATCTGGTGCCCTCTTTTGGACTGTAGGCATACATGCAGACAGAATACTGAGAATACTGTATACATAATAAATAAATTTAAAAAAAAAAGAGCTAGTTCCAAGACAGGCTCCAAAGCTACAGAGAAACCCTGTCTCAGAAAAAAGAGAAAAAAATAAAAGATTGCTACTAATATTGGTTTAATAAAAAATACTGACTGGCCAGTAGCCAGGCAGGAAATATAGGCGGGGCAACCAGACTAGAATTCTAGGAAAAGGAAAGGCTCAGTCTGCAGTCACCACACAGACACAGAAAAAGCAAGATGAAAATCCTACACTGAGAAAAGGTACTAAGCCACGAGGCTAAATACAGACAAGAATTATGGGTTAATTTAAGCTATAAGAGCTAGTTAATAATAAACCTGAACTAGTAGGCCAAACAGTTTGTAATTAATATAAGCCTCTGTGTGTTCTGTTGGGACTGAATAGCTGCAGAACTAGGCAGGACAGAAACTTCCATATACAAGCCTGGTCTACAGAGGGAGTTCCAGGACAGCCAAGACTGTTACACAGAGAAACCCTGTCTCAGAGGGAAAAAAAAAAAAAAAGAAGAAAAGTAGATGGGATAATTTAAGTTAAGAAAAGCTGGCTAGAAACAAGCCAAGCTAAGACTGGGCATTCATAAAAAAACAGTAAGACTCTATGTGATTCATTTGGGAGCTGAGTGGTGGGCCCCAAAAAGAACAAAGAATAAAAAAAAATGGTCCCAGAGTACAAGTACCCTGCTCCACTTGCGGTCAACTACAACAACAGAAGTCACCCCAGACATTGAGTTCAAAAAGCCAGAATTCTTGCTTCCAAGGAACCAAAGAGCCTGAGTTCCTAAGAAGTCACAAGTCTTGTGGTGAGACCCTTTAAAAAGCCACTCCAGAGATGTGGTTGGCTTCCCAAAGGAGGAAGTACTGCTTGGGACATTGCAGCTCCAAGTCACAGAAAGAGAGCAACAGAAAGAGAGCCCTGATCCACCCACCCAGGTACACTGGTCCTATGTCCCACAGTGCCTCCAACCCTTGTGTCTATCCAGCCTTCCCTTCCAGGTTGTCTGCATGCATAGTCACTTGAATCTGTCTTGATATTGGCTGTCAATGATGCTGAAAGTCCCAAAGAACTTACACATTTCAAACAACTTTAGCCAGGCAGTGGTGGTGCACACCTTTAATCCCAGCACTCGGGAGGCAGAGGGAAGTGCATCTCTGTGAGTTCCAGGCCAGCCTGATCTACAAAGTGAGTTCCAAGGCAGGTCCCAAAGCTACAGAGAAACTTTATCTCAAAAAAAAAAAATTCAAATTACTATAAAAAACAGCCATGTTCAGGAGGCTGAGGCAGGAGGACAGCAGGGTCAAATGTTAAATAACCTGGGCCACACAGGGAGACATTACTCAAAACTTCAAAAGTCACATAGGTCATGATTAGGACATACTGAGGACCATGTGGCTAGCTGACCTCTCTGTGGGGGTGGCATGGAATGCAGATGGCACCAGTGGCACAACCTCTTGGTACCAGCCAGGTATAAGGCCTGCCGTTAGCCACACGCAGTTCCAGGGTACATGGGCGTCCTGTTTTGCATATGACAACAAAAACTACTATAGTAAGGTAAAGTCTGAGGCTGCACTTCATTAAATGCTTACCTGATGGAAGAAATCATCCATGAAATGGTCCTTTTCAACAACGACGACAGTAGTGTCTCCATCGTCGTTTTTCCTACACTGGAATAGAAAACATTTTCAAAGTGTCAGAGGCTGAACAGCAACTCAGGACCCAAAGCACCTCAGCTGTGCACTGGGTGCCAAGAGCAGCAGAGCAGCCGCACGCCACAGCCTGCAGCCATCTAATTCTGCAGCTCCTTCATTGTGACAGGTGACACCAATGGGGGAAGAAAACAAAGGCCAGATATCTGTGCAGGCACGTTCACGTTCATCTGAACCTCAATCAGGGCCACTCACAACAGGTTCGTCCCCAAGAGCCAACATACTGTACACACACATCACACACATACACAGAGTCATCCGGGTGATTGATTCTGGGCTCTGAGCTCGCTAACCAAGTACTCAACACTGGACCACATCACCATCCCTGTAATATGTTCATGGTCTGTAAAGATGAAAAATGCTACTGGGGGTGGAAGCTGGAGAGATGGCTCAGTGGTTAAGAGCACTGGCTGATCTTCCAGAGGACCTGGGTTCGATTCCCAGCAACCACATGGTGACTCACAACTGTCTATAACTGTTGTCCCAATGGATCTGATGTATTCTTCTGGTGTGCAGTCAACATGCAAACAAAAAACCCATATACATAAAATACATAGACAAATAAATCTTTTTTTAAGCCAGGTGATGATGGCACACACCTTTAATCATCCTAGAACTCAGGAGGCAGAGGAAGGCAGGCTAGCCTGATCTACAGAGCAAGTTCCAGGACAGCCAGGGCTACACAGAAAAACCCTGTCTCCAAAAACAAAAAACAAAACAAAAAAACACCATTTAAAAATGGCTTTGGTTGTGCACTCCTATAATCCCAGCACTTGAGAGGTGGAAGCAGAATGATCAGAAGTTCGGGGCCAACTTCCAGATCAGAAGGTCCAGGTCGACCTCTACTATATACTGAGTTCAAGGCCAGCCTGGAAAATGGGAGACCTTATCTGAAAACAAACCAAACTGCTGACAGCACTAGCTGACTTTTGTAGAGTGCACAGTAACTTCCGAGGTATGTCAGCTGACATCCTTACTTTCTAAGAGGAGAATGACCACTATATACTGTGTTTAATAACAAACACTCTGACAAGGAAAGAGGAGTTGGGGAAGACGAGGGTCAAATAACACTGGAGAAGATGACAGTGACATTACAGACACAGTTAGCAACAGCCTAACACAGGATCAAAGATACAGAACCAGGCACTTCCTATGCCGGCTGGACACATGGCCTTGGATCCTGAGAATGCTGGATGATGACGTACTATAGCCCAGCTGCTGCTGCCTTTGAGGCCTGGGGGCTTGTGTCTGCACAGGATGCTAGAGAGATGCTGGGACTGCCTGCGCAGTAACCCACCTGGAAGCCTCCCTTCTAAACAGTCAAAGCCTCTAGCAGCACAGAAAACTCTAAATTAGCTGGAAGCAGCTTTTGTCAACAGCTCTAAATGTCCCCTCCCCACCCCATCCCTAGAAGCTGGTCTCTAAATCCCCCAGCTGAGCCCAGCCAGCCAGCACAGGGGAGGGACTTGCCGAGCTCTCTCCCCCAGAGCAGCCCTGTGAGTCAGCACAGGCCTGTGAGTCCAGCCTCCCAGCCTCCCTCCCTGCAGTCAAGGCTGCCAAGGCACCCTAGGAACCTACCTTCACTGCCTTTACCCCGCAGGACTGACACACAGCAGTACCCCCCCTTACCACCCAGGTAAACTTGCAAACAAAATCCTACTACAATTCTCATCTAAGAAAAATCTGTGAATTTAAGAAATGTGTTAAAGGGCTAGATGCTCTTCCAGAGGTCCAGAGTTCAATTCCCAGCAATCACATGGTGGCTCACAACCATCTGTAATGAGATCTGGCGCCCTCCACTGGCGTGTGGGCATACATGGAGGCAGAATGTAGTATACATAATAAATATTTTTTTTAAAAAAAAAAGAAAGAAATGTGTTAAAGCCAAACAGTGTGGTGCACGCCTTTAATCCCAGCACTCCGGAGGCAGAGGCAAGAATCTCTGAGTTCTAGGCCAACCTGGTCTACACGGTGAGTTCCAGGCTGGTCAGGGTTACATAGAGAAATGCTATCCACACCCCCTCCAAAAAAAATGAAAGAAAAGAGAAATGTTATGAAAGCACAAGAATTCTGCCTCTCTCCGTACCACCCGTGACTCCCTAAGGCCTGATCAGCTCTTCCCACACCGTATGCACCCTCTCTACTGCTGTCCGCGTGGATAAGATGGCTGCTTAGTTAAGGCTAGGAGTGTGGCTCTAAGATAGAGACAGGAGTATGAGAGGAACCTTTGTCACCAGGGAGATGAAACCACATAGCCAGGACCAGCTTAATAAAAAAGGGGGCATCACCTAAGAGGATGCCTTACATATCCATGAAACCTAGCACAGCTCCCTTTGGCTTCTCAGGGCCACACACCTGCTCCTTCTGTGTGATTTCTCCCAGAGCCCAAGGCACACTGTCGGTCAACACACTGTTCTCTCAGATGTCTGGAAAGAAGGACAGTGCTGAAGTATGATGTCCCAACAGCCCTAAGCAAGGGAACCACATTTGGGACAGGGGCGCTGACATGCCCAGTTAGGATGGCTCACTCTAGAGGAGGGTGGGCTGCAATCGCTGAGATAATCACAGAGCAAGGAAAACAAGAGCAAAGCACAGGTTGGCACAGGGGATCTGCATGCTTGGGAATGGAGTGTCGAAGACCAGTGTCTTAGAATCTACAAGATGCAAAGAAAAATGTCAGCCATGGCTTTTGGAGGTGCTGACACCCTGATTTTACACCTGAAGCCTCAAATGCCTTTGAGAACTGGGGCAGGAGGATCTCAAATTTGATGCCAGGAAGTCTGGCAATAATGCCACATGCCTTTAATCCCAGCACTTGGGGGGCAGAGGAAGGTAGATTTTTGTGAGTTCAAGGCCAGTCTGGTCTACATAGCAAGTTCTAAGACAAACAGGGCTACACAGAGGTCCTGTCTCAAATAAAAAACAACTTGAAGCCACCCTGTACAACCAACTCAGTGAGAACCTGCTTGAAAAAGAAAAAGAAAAACAAAAAACTGGAGTTGGTGGGACATGCCTATAATTCCAGCACTCAGGAAGCAGCGGTAGGAAGATCCTGAGTCTGGGGCCCGACTGGGCTTCATGGTTAACTCTAAGCCAACCTGGGATACACAGTAAGACAAAGATAATGGAAGAATGGAAGGAAGGAAGGAAGGAAGGGAGGGAGGGAGGGAGGGACGGAGGGGGGGAGAGGGGGGAGGGAGGGAGGGACGGACATACGGACAAAGGAAGAAAGGAAGGAAAGAAGGCAGGCAGGCAGGCAGGTAACAGGAGGCAGAGAGGGAGGGGAGGGAAAAGGCTCTCTGAAGGTACCACATGCTGCCCTGGGGCCATGAGCACCTCAACTACCCTATACTGACAATCCTCTCTGAGAATGAGCTGTGACCTGAAAATGTACCCAGGTCTCAGAAGCACATACACTGGTGGCAGCAGTTAAAGAAAGGGTGATTAGGGAATCAGGGGCACATGGAGAGACACCATTCTGCACCTCTGTGCAGGCTGCTAGGACAGAAGGTAACCATTGCCAGGGACAGGGAGGAAAACCAGACAGGAACTTCCTGGTGGTGAAGGTGTGAGCAAGGCCAAGAGGGAGGCATGCAGGGCCAGGGAGGATAAGGAAACTGTCAGGAAGTGGGCTTATCCTGCAACCAAGAGGCCAAGAGGAAGTCTAGCCATGGCAGATGCTCTCAGGCCACCCTGGTTCAAGCAAAAACAGGAAATAATTGGTCCACGGGAAAACCCAGAATCTCCTATACATGACCTAATGCATTCTGATTTATTAACACCCTCACTCTTCCTCCCTCAACCACAGGAATCCACGGCATACAGCCAGTTCACTTTAGTCTGTCTCTAGTGTCTCATCTAGCTCAGACCGGGCATTCTCTCTGTGCTCGTACGTTCTGCCAGAGACAGGCACTCTGGACGCAGAGTCTAAGCAATCCCAGGCAAGTTTCTTGAGGTTTTGTGTTAAATGAACAGTGGATCAAAGCAGGAAGCTTCTCTCGGACCATACAAGATCTGTGGATGCAAACTGTTTACCACGATTAATCTTCTTCTGCAATAAGGACTTACCACATCACCCAAGCTAACCTGGAACTCAGGACCTTCCGGCCTCAACCTCTCACTGCTACTCAAATGAGGTAGCATTTTATTTTTTGTTTTTGTTTGTTTGTTTGTTTGTTTGGAGACGGGGTTTCTCCGTGTAACTTTGAAGCCTGTCCTGGAACTAGCTCTTGTAGACCAGGGTGTCCTCGAACTAACAGAGATCTGCCTGCCTCTGCCTTCCGAGTGCTGAGATTAAAGGCATGAGCCATCACCGCCTGGCCAAACGAGGCAATTTTTGAATCTTTCACAGGTGATCACCACGAACACCTTTTCCTCAGGCGGATGTATAAACAGCTAATGAGGAACCTTTCTGCGAAACCACAAACTCTGGGTCACTGTGGTCATTGCAGTTTAGCCATTTTAACCACAAAATTAAACACTAGATCTTATTTGTGAAAAAGCCGTATTTGGATATATGACGTGAAGAGGCAGGCAACCCATTCCAAACTACTTGAAAATTTCAAGAATGTATTTTTAACTAAACAACAATTAAACTTATCTGGTAAGTAGCCCTTTTTGTTTGTCTTTTGAAACAGGGGATCATGTAGCCCAGGCCGGAAGCTGTGAACTCAGGATGCCTTAAATTTCTGACCCTTCTGCTTCCACCTCCCAAACATTCCAATTACAGCTGCCCGATTCGGATGCTCTTGCCTGTGGCAGGAGACTGAGGCAGGAGGCTTGCTAGGAGGTCAAGGTTGGTCGAGGCTACACACTAAGTCCAAGCTGGCCTGGGCTGCAGTGTGAGACCATTCCCCAAACCTCCTCAACCAAAAGGAAAACAAACACGTTACTTTAAACATGCCAAATTCAAGTCAGATAATTTTAAACTAGAGATATTAAAGAGAAAGTGGCTTTTTCTAACTTCCCGAAAATGAAGAATCTAGTAGGTTATCAACAGTGTAAGCCCTGGCACTTGCTTCCCCGTTCCAGAGGTTCCTGTGTTAGATACACACCTCTCTCTGAGAGGCAGAAAGAGAGCTGTCGCACAAGAAAACCAAAGTATAGAGAGGTCTGGATATAAATTACTTGGGGAGAGGATGGGGCTCAGTGGAAGACACTGGCTGCACGGCCATAAAGCCCTGACTTCTGTCCTCAGCACAGGAGGAAACAACTGAGGTTCACCAGTCATTGGCCAGAGCTCCATGGTGGAAGCTTCCACTCTGCTGCTAACTGCTCGGTCCTTGTATGGAAATGGCAGGGAACTGGACCTGATAAGGTCACTTCTAGGTCCGAAATCCTACAAGAAAACCAAGTAACATACTCATTGTGTATAACACACACAGGCAATGTGTACACAGAAGCATACACCCTAAAGTATGTATATAGGAAAGCCGGGCAACATCCTTAGCTGTCATTCCTCAGACACTGTCCTCCTTGACTTTTAAGACAGGGTTTCTCACTACCCTCAACTCCAGTGAGCCCTGGGAAGCTATTTCCACCTCCCCAGAGTTAGAATTAAAGTATGTACCAAGGTGCCTTTTTTTTTTTTTTTTTTTGCTTTTTCGAGACAGGGTTTCTCTGTGGCTTTGGAGCCTGTTCTGGAACTAGCTCTGTAGACCAGGCTGGTCTCGAACTCACAGAGATCCACCTGCCTCTGCCTCCCGAGTGCTGGGATTAAAGGCGTGCGCCACCATTGCCCGGCACCAAGGTGCCTTTTAAAATGTGGGTCTGGAGCTGGAGAGATGGCTCAGCAGTTAAGAGCACTGACTATTCTAGAGGAGCTGAGTTCAATTCCCAGCCACCGCATGGTGGTTCACAACTGTCTGTAATGAAATCTGGTGCCCTCTTCTGGTCTACAGGCATACATGCAGAGAGCACAAGGTATACATAATATATAATCTTTAAGAAAAAATAAAATGTAGATCTGAGAATTGACCCCATTGTCCTCACGCTTGCAAGGCAAGCAGCTGAACAACTAACCCATCTCCCCAGCCCACTGATTCACATATCCTCCCTATTTCTGAAAATCCTGGACTAAAGAAGGACTTACTGGGGCCAGTGAGATGGCTCAGTGAGTCAGTGTGCCTACCACCGAGCCTGACAACCTCAGTGTGGCTAAAGACTCAAATGGTGGAGACAGAAACAACTCCAAGTATGCACTCAAATAAATATATCACATCATGTTTATGTATTTGTTTTTAAATTGACTTAAGTTTCATTTAGAAAAAAAAAATCAATGAATTAGGTTTGGGATTAGGACAGAACTCCCACCGTCTTCTGAGATGGCCCTCAGCATACTTTGCCACTTTTTACTACGCATTTATTTATACGGAGGGGCTTTGGGGCACTGACAATTATAAAATCAAAATAGCAACACTGTGCTCTAAACCCTGTAGTATCAAATATTGAGCCAAGATTTACTTCTTTACATAAAACAAACACATCCATCTCATCTGCTGTCATCCTTGACAAATGAGAAGTGATAAACCCTGAGCGATTGTTTAAAATTAACATCTATGATTTATCATCACCAGTTAGGCTCCATTTGTACAACTATTTTACAGACGTCGATACGCAGGATCATGTAAAAATTTCTCAAGTGAAAAGGGGTCACTAATGGAAGTGTTTAAGAAACCAGGTCTTTGGGCAGTGGGCCTCAGACCCTGCTCCAAAGGCTGCAACCATTTGAAGAGCAGAAGCTGTGTTTCTGCTGCAAAGCCAAGCCAGCCACGACCAGCAGAAATCATTCTTTTACTTTCAAGAAAGAAGTCCAGCTGATTCTGGTGACCTCGACAGTCTCAACGCTTGCCCACTGTATTATCACCACCTCCACTTTCACAGTGACCCCCACATTTATAGTGGTAGCATCTTTACACAATGGAAAGCATGAAGTCAAGTCACTTTGAATATAATCCAGCCCTAAAAAGACTGATTGACACTTCATGTGCAGCAGTATAGATAGAACTAGAAGCTGGTTACAGTGAATGACGTTAGACAAAGGGGACTACTCCTTGGGGACCGGGAAAATAATACACACAGCTCAAGCACTGTTAAGTTAGCATTAGAGACAATGACAGGCTCTTAAGGTTTTATCATAAGCATTCTTTCTAATGTTCATCTTCCTGTTAGCAAGCAAAGACACTGGCAGATGAGGCAATTGACTCTCTTGATGCCCCAGCTGCTGTAAGCAAAAGGCCTGACTGTCAGTCAAACAGCCATCTGGGCTACCCCTAGGGCAGCACCAGCCAAGTTGAACATTGCGTGCTTTGAGGAACCTACACAATGCCTACGGCTGACTGCTCCAGCTCCTAGGGGCACTGCCTCTGTCAGGGTTTTCAGTGTGCACTGGACTTCTTGCTATCACAAGCCTTTGTGAACTCTGGATGACCCTGTAGCCATTCGCCCCTAAATCAGAGGGCAGTTGCCAAAGAGGTAATGCTGGAATTGGTGCAAATCCAAACCTTCATTTGCAAAGGAGGTCTGTAATTGGTACACACTTTTGCCGTCTTTACAACCAGGTTGTCCAGCTCATTCAGTGTTCATTGGGTGAGTGGGCTGTGCTGGCCCTGACCCATGCAAGCTTCTTTGGGGTGGTCTTGCTCCACCTGCTTCTACTGGGGCAGGAGGGACTGGGAGCATGTAAAGGGGCTGAGGCAGCAGCTCTGGACAGTGGAGCCGATAGCCTGAAGCACACTGAGTCAGAGCAGCTGTATGGGAGGAAAGGCAAGACCAGGGTCAACAGGGGCAGAAGCAGAAGCAGCAAAAGTAGCTGTGACTGCACACTGGGAAGCAGCTCAGCAGTTCTAGGGCGTGACAGGAAGGAGCAGTGAAGAGGCAGAGCTGAGGCCAGAGGCATGCAGAAGCCTTTGAGGGCCAGGGAAGAGTTCCAGAGGGCTGTCAGGTCTTTAGGGCCAAGGGTCTCAGGCCTCAGTGGAGACAGTTCTAACAGTTGTTAAGGTCTCGGGAATCTCCACCGGGCAAGCACACTTGCTCAGGGTCCATCCCTGGCATGTCCCCCACCCCCCTGGCCGTCCAGTGCCTAGAGCTGTGACACTAGAGGGCACCACCTGCTGCTGCTCCTCAGAGCTGTCAACAAAATCTGCCAGAGTCCAGCACTGGAAGCAATTTCTCTCCCTTTCCAGGTTTCTACCTGGATCCAGCAAAGACGCCCCCTGGGGTGAGGGTCACAAAGCCAATCAGCACAGAAACACAAGCGCTGGCGTGTGCAGATGTTCAAAAAGCTGCTCTCCAGGAGTAGAAAACAGAATGGTTCCTGGGTCTGGGAAGGGTACCAGGGAACAGTGTAGACAGGGGGCTCTGGGGTCAAGCTGGAGAGCGAAAATGCCTTCCAACACTCTGCACTGCAGTGGGTGACTACGGTCAATGCCTGCAAGTAGCTACTGAGGAGGGTCTTGAGGTCCTCAGCCCAAAGAAATGATAAGCACCTGAGATGATATGGTCAGTCACCCTGACTGGGCCCGCACTGCATACATGTCTTGAATGTCCCATTATACCCCAAAAGAGGGTACAACGACTGTGTGCATTGCAGATGTAGACATATATACTATAAGCCCCCGCCCCCTTTTCCCCTTTAAAAGCTCAGCCTTCCTCTTGCTGCGATGCTCACTAGTGACTAAAGACCTGGGTTAAAACGTAAACACATTTCTGGTCCCCAGTGCACTGGGGAAATACCTAACACAGCTGTGGGTGGTGTTGACCGCACCAGGCGCTTAGCCCTGAGCTCCAAGTTTGTGTGGAGTGACTGGACCCTTGGTACAGCCTTCTGTATCAGTCCGCGAAACAAGGCCGTGGGAAAAGGGACCCCTACAGGGTGGGGCAGACAGTTGGAGACGTTGCGATAAGAGCCTTGCAAAAAGACCAGGCAGGCAGTGCCATGGTGAGTCCCAAGAAGGCATCAAACATCAGTCCAGGGCAGGAGGTCCAAGCACAGCCCTTGCTCCTGAACCACACTCTCACCCATTGAAATCAGTCATCAGCGGCCAAAAGGATCCTGACCCAAACATCAGTCCACATCAGCCAGGGGTATAGTGTCAAGGAAGGCAGAAAAAGGCACCCCTGGACACCTACCGGAACCTGTGTCCCAGACTAGAGTGCAGCCAGCACAGGCTTTGGACCTCTCCCATTGCCCACGCCCGGAGTCCCAACAACCTGAGTCCCTTGGTACCCAGGGAACCCCAAGAGTCTTGCCCCAGGAACCCATGGAGATGTCATCCCAGGAACCCTCCTGATACCCTATCCTAACACCCTTGAAGACCCAGGAACCCTAGAGCCCTTCCAGAGAACCTGCTCAGAAACACTGCTTAGGTCTACGAGTGTATCCTGTGACTCTTGGATACCCTGGAGCCCAATCCCCGGAACCCTGCTCCAAGGCCGCCTGGGTCCTTCCCGAAGACTACTCCCTGCCACCCCTGGAGACCCGGGTGTCTCTGGAGGCCACACGACACCTGGAACCCTCTTATTAGACCCCTCCGAGAGACACTGACCAGTTCCCTCCCGGGGTGTTCTTCCTCAGAGCTCTCTTCCCTGGTCCCCTTCTCCAGGCCCCCCTCCTGGGTTCCCCTCCCGACCCCCCCCCCCCCCACACACACACACTCAGGCTCCTCCTAGGGTCCTGTTCCTAGACTCCTCTTCGTGAGTTCCGCCCCCATCATCCCTCTCCCCGGATCCCTCCTGGGGTCTTTGCCCCGAACCCTCAGCACCCCGCCCGCCGGCCCAGACCGCTATCCGGTGCGCCGCTCACCGCCGTGAGGTCGGGCAGCCGGTCCCGCATCCCCACCGGCCAGCAGGGCGAGGCGCCCGACTCTCAGCTGCCCGGCCGCACACTCTCGGGTGACCGCGTCGCCGCCTCTGCCCGCCGGGGTCCTGGCCCCGCGCCGCCGCCCTCCCTCTGGCAGGCGCTACCACGGCAACCGCGCCCGCGCTCTCTGCGCTTGCGCCTGCCCCACCCCCTCCCGCGGGACCCCGGGCGCCTGGGCGAGTTGTCGCGGGGGGGGGGGGGGGGGCGGAGGAGTGGGCGTGACCCCCATTCGGGGGCGGGGCCTGGCCTAAGTCCTGGGCTGAGTGGTTAGACTGTTTAACACGCTGTCTGCCCTCGTTGTTTCCTGAACTTTCGCTCGTTTTGTTTATTAAAAAACTCAAGGGCTGGAGCTGTAGAACAGTGGCTAGCCCTTGCCTACTATGCCCTAGATTTATACCGAACAGCGAAAAAACAAAATTCTAAATTCACCATTACAGCACACAAATTGATAGCAACCACCTGTCACCCACTCTGACCCTGAGAGCGCCACACCTGGGTCACCGGCAAAAAGAAAAAAAAAAAAAAAGCCGGGCGGTGGTGGCGCACGCCTTTAATCCCAGCACTCGGGAGGCAGAGGCAGGCGGATCTCTGGGAGTTCGAGACCAGCCTGTTCTACAAGAGCTAGTTAGTCCAGGACAGGCTCCAAAACCACAGAGAAACCCTGTCTCGAAAAAAAAAAAAAAAAAAAAAAAAAAAAAAAAAAAAAAGAACACTGGCAGGTTCCCCCCTTGATGCAGTTCTGGTGGGAGAATCAAGCAAAGCAGCTACTTTTCTGGTCGCTGTAGCAGTGTACCCATCAAATGCCACGTAAGGGAGAAAGGATTTGGGATTTGTTTTGGCTCTTGATTTGAGGGGCTAAAGTCCATTATGCCAGGAAAGTCATGACCGCAGACAGCCCGTGTTGGTGGGGGTATTAACCCAGTCCCCTCATAGTTTGGAGGCATAGAGGACAAAGACAGGAATGACAGGAACTGGTCCGGACGGTAGCCCTCAAGGCTGGCTCATCAGCCACTCACTTTCTCCAGCTAAGCCACACCTCCTAAAAGTTCCACAACTTCCCAAAAGAGTGCCAGCCGGCTGAGAGTGTTCAAACAAGTATTCAAATGCACTAGCCTGTGGAAGACATTTCACATTCAAACGACACAGTAGGGGGCGGGAGGTCAACAGCCGCAAAGAGCTGAGCATAGGGTGGAGTGCAGGGGCGACCACAGAGCAAGCTTCCCGTGTCCCTCCTGTGGCGCCAACACTCCAGAGATGGCAGGGTATTGATTGTCAATCCAACAGGATCTACAATCTGCCAAGGAGACAAGTCTCTGGTCTCTCTTAGGAGGGATTATCTAGATTAGGGTAATTGACAAGGAAAGACCCTTTATGTTGTTGTTTGTTTGTTTTTGTTTTTTGAGACAGGGTTTCTCTGTGTAACTTTGGTGCCTGTCCTGGAACTTGCTTTTTAGACCAGGCTGGCCTCGAACTCACAGAGATCAGCCTGCTTCTGCCTCCCGAGTGCTGGGATTAAGCGCCTGTGCCACCACTGCCTGACGAAAAGACCCTTCTTAACTGTTTGCAGCACCGTCCTATATTCTGGGGTTCTGAACCCAATAAAAAGGAGAAGGGGACTTGACCACTGCCATTTATCTCTCTCTGCTTCCTGACTATGGGTGCCTTGTGACCAGCTGCCTCAACCTGTTGTCATTACTTCCCTCCATGATGGATTGTAGTCTTGAACTGTGAGCCAAAGTGAACCCTAGCTCCCTGGATGAGTCTCATAATGGCTATGCACAGAAGCTTGCCTTGTTTTGTTTTTTAAAACATGTATGTATGGTGGACGGTAGCAGACATGTAGAGGTGAGGCTGGGCGGTGGTGGTGACACCTTTAATCCCAGCACTCAGGAGGCAAAGGCAGGTGGATCTCTGTGAGTTTGCGGCGAGCCCCGTCTACAAGAGCTAGTTTCCAGGACAGGTTCCAAAGCTACAGAGAAATCCTGTCTCGGAAAAAAAAAAAAAAAAAAAAAAAAAACCACGTAGAGGTGAGAGAACAACTTTTGGGTTTGGTTCTCTTTTACCATGTGGGTTCCTGAGACAGAATTCACTCTGTCAGGCTTGATGGGAACTGCCTCTAACTGCTGAGCCATCTCACCAGCTAGTAGCTTTCATTCTTAAGTATACTGGCATGTGAGCTAAGGCTCTGCAGGAAGGGGTGCACTTACCAGAGATATGCCACAAATCTGTGGGAGCCTATCCCTAAGTGTGTAGCATTAGGCTGTGCTGGAGTGGAGCACGCCTTTAATCACAGCACTCGAGGCAGAGGAGGAGGATCTCTGAGTTCCAGGACACCCAGGGCTACACAGAGAGACCCTGTCCCCCAAAAAACAAAACAACAGCGGGGTGGTGGTGGTACACACCTTTAATCCCAGCACTCGGTAGGCAGAGATAGGCTGATCTCTGTGAGTTCAAGGCCAGCCTGGTCTACAGAGCTAGTTCCAGGACAGGCTCCAAGGCTACACAGAGAAATCCCATCTCAAAAAACCAAAAAGAAGAAGAAGGAGAAGGAGGAGAAGAAGGTGAAGAAGGAGGAGGAGGAAGAGGAGGAGAGGAGGAGGAGGAGGAGGAGGGAGAGAGAAAACACTGGCTGCTCTTACAGAGGTCCTAAATTTAATTCCCAATACCCATCCAGTGGCTCACAACCATCTGTAGTGAGATCTGGTGCCCTCTTCTGGCATAGAGGTGTAAATGCAGAAGGAGCATTATATACATAATAAATAAATCTTAAAAAAATTTAAACTCTAAAAATAGAAGCAATTGGGTTGTGGGGCAGTCTTTTATTTTGCTTCATTTTTTTTTGAGCCCAGGCTAGCCTCAAACTCCCTGTGAGCATGAACAGGGTTTCCTTGGCTGTCCTGGAAATCACTTGGTAGGCCAGGCTAGTTTCGAGCTCTTAGAGATCCACCTGTTTCTGCATCCCAAGTGCTGGGATTAAAGGTGCATACCACCATGCCTGGGCTTCGACAGTGAACTTCTGATCCTCCTAAATGTTGGGATCACAGGTATATGATATGACACTATGACTGAACAAAAACAGTTTAAGGACACATTTGTATTATCAGTGGTGGCTCAGAACCTGGAGGCTGAAGCAGGACTAATACAAGTTTGAGCCAGCATGGGCTACAGTGTAAGGCTTCAAGAACAACAACAACAAAAATCAATTTCTTCACAATTAATAAATGGGACCTCCTGAAACTGAAAAGCTTCTGTAAAGCAAAGGACACGGTCAACAAGACAAAATGACGACCTACAGAAAACCTGGGGAAAGATCTTCACTAACCCCATATCAGACAGAGGTCTGATCTCCAAAATGTACAAAAAACTCAAGAAATTGGTCATCAAAAGAACAAATAATCCAATAAAAAACAAATGGAGTATAGACCTAAACAGAGAACTCTCAACAGAGGTATCTAAAATGGCTGAAAGACACTTAAGGAAATGTTTAACATCCTTAGTCATCAGAGAAATGCAAATCAAAACAACTCTGAGATTTCATCTTACACTTGTAAGAATAGCCAAGGTCAAAAACACTGATGACAACTTATGCTGGAGAGGTTGTGGGGGAAAGGGAACACTTCTGCGTTGCTGGTGGGAATGCAAGCTGGTGCAATCAGTATGGTGATTTCTCAGAAAATTAGGAAACAACCTTCCTAAAGACCCAGCAATACCACTTTTGGGTATATATCCAAAGGATGCTCAATTGTGCCACAAGGACATGTGCTCAACCATGTTCATAGCAGCTTTGTTTGTCATAGCCAGAACCTGGAAACAACCTTAATGCCCCTTGACTGAAGAATGGATAAGGAAAATGTGGTACATTTATACAATGGAGTACTACAGCAGAAAAAAATGACATCTTGAATTTCGCAGAAAAATGAATGGATCTAGAAAACATTATTTTGAGTGAGGAAACTCAGACACAGAAAGACAATTACCACATGTACTCACTCATAGGTGGTTTTTAAACATAAAGCAAAGAAAACCAGCCTACATACCACAAGCCCAGAGAACTTAGCCAACAATGAGGACACTAAGAGAGACAGACTTACATAGATCTAATCTACATGGGAAGTAGAAAGTAGAAAAAGACAAGATCTCCTGAGTAAATTGGGAGCATGGGGACCTTGGGGGAGTGTTGAAGTGGGGGAGGGGAGAGGCAAGGAGGGGAGCAGAGAAAAATGTAGAGCTCAATAAAAATTTTTAAAAAAAAGAAAGAAAAAATCAATTTCTTCAGTGTTTCAGTGAGAAATATATTAATAGTGTCCAGGTAGTATAATGGTCTGTCCTGTCCCTCATACCTTTAATCCCAGTGCTCAGGAGGCAGAGGCAGACGGCTGTGAGTTCAAGGCCAACCTGGTCTCCAAAGTGAATTCCAGGACAGTCTAAGGCTGTTACACAAAGAAAGCCTGTCTTGAAAAAAAAAAACAAAAAGCCCAAAACCAAAAACCAAACAAGAAAACCAGAGATGTTTGGTTCTAAACCACTCTCCCTATGAATGGGACCTTAGAAGAAAGGGCCTTTTACAATTCAACTTAACAAGAGATGAAGTCATGACTCAGGCAGGGCTCAACCTCAGAGACAGACAGACATGCAGAGAGAAGATGATACAACCAGGAGGAGATAACGAAGTCACTGCAGCTGTATGCCACAAAGCAAGAGGTGGTCACAAATGCCAGCAACTCCAAGGCTCAAGAGGCAACATGGTACAGACTCCCTGGGACAGACGCCTTCAGGGATAGCATGGCCTGCCCACTTCTTGTTTCAGACTTCCAGAAACATCCCTGGCAGAGCTTGATGGTACAGGTGTGTTACCCCAGGTTCTCAGGAGGACAAGGCAGTAGGACCCCGAGTTCAAGTCCAACTTGGACTGCAAAGTAGACTGAAGGATAGTCCAGGCAATTTAGTGAGACATTTGTCTCCAAGTAAAAAGTAAAAAGATGGCTGAAGAATGTAACTCAGTAGAGGTGTTTGCCTGGCAACCCTGAGGCCTTGGGTTTAATACCAGGGCCAGGTAGGGGATCCATTTCTGTCCTGTTAAGGG